AAATCATCTAATCTAACCTCATTTTGCTGGTGAAAAAACTGACAATTACCTGAGTCTATAGCCAAGAGCCACTGTTCCAGTATCTTGGCAGACCCAAATTGTGCAGTCTTTCCTGCAATTACAGAGAAGTGGGAAGGGAAAATAACAAGTAAAACATCCCTATGTTCCTCCATCTCCTGAAGACACTTCGGTCCTACTGACGTCCTTTCTACAGGAATGCCAGAGGCCCCATAGGCATGAGATGAGAACGAGGGAGGACTCGTTAAGGACTCATATTCCATGGGAATTCCCACTGGGGGCAAGATTCCTAAATCCTGATTCTCTTACCCAGGTAGAGAGCACTGTTTGCTGGTAGGTGCTTTCAGCTTTAAGCGCCTACGTGTTGACCTTCACAAAGTTCCCACCTTTAATAAAGGCAAATGGTAAGTAAGGTATTCAGGGAAAAACAAATCGAACTAAAGTTATGGTGAATATGGTCTCAGTTGAGAAAGTTGAGAATCCCTATAGATTACTCCCTGAGTGGCAGTATGATGTAATACGATTATTTGGATGCACAGACCCTCAAGTCAAAGGACTCAAGTGCTAGGCCTGAGTCTGCCATTAAAAAAAAGGGAGTGGGAAGCTAAGAACAATCACAGATACATTAAAAACAGAGAGAGACGCACCAAAAGAGGGAGGCGGACAGAATAGACAGAGACAGAAAAGTCAACAATGAGAGAGGCAGAGATAGAAACAGAAAAAAGAAACTGAGGCAGAAAAGAGTGACACACAAAAACATGGAGGAAGGGGGAGAAAAAAGAGGGGAAGGCAGAGAAGGAGACAGAAGAGGATACAAAGAGCCGAAGACAGACACGAAGAGACGGGGCAGGGAGTGGGACACCGAGGAGGAGAGGAATCTAGCGGAGATCGCAGAGAATGAGGAAGGGGAGACGCAGAGAGAGAATCAACAGAGACACGATCCGACAGACCCCAGGGAGGGAAGGAGGCCGGGAGACAGGCAACGCGAATCTGACGGGGAAAGACAGAGATGGCATCCCCGGATTCGGAGCCAGGGCCTCGGGACACCAGGCAGCGGGAGATGCGGAACCCCAGCGAGGTGATCGGGCAGTCTGACCGAGTGCGGGGCGGGCTCGGGGTCGCTCACCTACTGTCCCCCCAGGGGAGCTGGGCCGCCTTCCTCCGAGAGGGGAACATCCTGGGCGGCCGTGGCGCTTGGAGGGAGGGAGGGAGGCCCCGGCCTGGCCCGGCCCCTCCAGCGCCCGCCCTCTTCTCGCAGCCGCCGCCGCAGCCGCCGCAGCCGCCCCGCCCCCCGGACTCCCCTGTCCGTGTGTCGGCCCGCGCCGGCTACCCCCGGGCACCAGCACAAAGGTTCCGCCCGGAAGTGGGCCCGGGGAGCCACGTGGACTTCGCTCGCCTGAAACCCGGGCAGAGCGGCCCGCCGCAGGCCCGGCTCCGGGTGCTGAAAAGTGCAGCCCCACGCCATTCATTCATGCTTTCGTTCCTTTCCGGAACATCTGCGAAACGCCTTTGGAGAAAGCCTGGTGCCCACCCTCCTGCAGCTCAGTAGGGGAAAGAGACCCAAACTAATGCTGCCCGTGGGACATCATAAGGGCTTAAAGAGAAGGGGGGAACTTGGTTAATGATGGCAAGAGTTAGGGAAAGTAGCATTGAGGTTACGACGTAAAAGATGGGTAGGACTTCCAGCAGACAAAAAAAAGTCTCGGGAGGGAGGGGATCTAGACACTAGTATGAGCCCCCCTCCCCCCTGTTCAGGCTGAGCTCCTAATCAAACATCCTTACACACAAGATATATTTGGGGAGCAAAAGTTGGCCAGTCTGATTAAACCACAGAACTCTGCCTCTTTAAATTGGTTGTATTTTCATCGACGTGTAAATGTTTATAGGCTTAATGGTGGTTACCATTACATGCTTCCCCCAGAATGAGATCCCTGCCCTTGTATTTCCAGCACCTCCTTAGACATGGTGCTTTGCAAATTGTAGGTGCTTAATAAAAGCTTGTTGAATTAACCTGAGAAGGCAGAATTAGGGGCAGAGGCATTCCAAGGGGAGGAAATGGAAAGAACTGAGGTGCAGAACCCAATTTTGCTGTAGCATAACGTGTGAAGAGGAGAGCAACGGGAGAGAAAGTTGGTAAGGTAAGTTAGGATCCAGTTGCTGGAACGCCTAGAACACCATACAGAGGCCATTTTGACTGTTTCCTATAAGCAAGGGGGAACCACTGGAAATTTCTGAGCAGGTGAATGAGGCACCTATTTTAGGAAGATCACAAGACCATAGATTTAGAGTTGGAAGGGACCTTTTAAGTCACCTCAACTGATATCCTTATTTTGCAAATGAAGAAATTGAAACCCATAAAGGTTACATGACTTACCCAAGGTTACAAATGTAAAACGACAGCACTGGGATTTGAACTCAAGTCCTGTGCTTTTTCACTGCACCAGGTTGGATGGGGACTGTAGGTAGGGACTTTAGTTATGAGGCTGTTGCAATAAGTCAGATGGTAGGGTGATTATAATTAAATGGAAAAGCATTTATTAAGCATGTTCTGTGTTCCAAATACTGTGCTAAGGGCTAGAAATACCAACAGAAAAATCAAGACTGGCTCTGCCCTCAAGGAGCTCACATTCTAATTGGGTGAGACAACATAAACATGTCATCTTGTGGCAGATGAAAAGGCCAGGATAAAAACAGCGGGAGTTTCTGGCAGGCAAAGTAGGAGGGTCAATAGCAAAGTCCAAGGGACCTTGAGGAACAATGGCAGGGCAAGATGATCTGAACCAATAAGATAGTAGATGCTAGGATCAGTGTGGACTGGGGCTCAGGGCTATTTCCTGCAGGAGGAGGGATAGGAATCTTGGCAGCCAGCTGAGAATAGATGTCTGGGACCTGCTGGGAAGTCACTTGTGACCTGCAAGGGGGGGGGGGTTAGATTGAGGGAGAGGAAAGTCTGTGGTTCCCTGCTGTGATAGCAAGTGGTGATACTGACCCAAAATGTTATTAGCAAAATTGCAAAGACTGAAGAGACAATGACCAATCGATTATATGTGATGAGGGACAAGGAAGAGTCAGAGATGACACCAGAGTTGAGACTGATGAGGCCATTGGGATAATGATGGCACAATTAGCAGTCAAGGATCCAGCAAGAAGAAACGGGGATCTCTGACCAAAACTGAAAGATTCACGCCCTCAGAGTGTACTATGTATGTATATTAGTGCCTTACTCACTTTCACAAATGCATTAGGGTTACTTTTGAGGTTTGTAGAAAATTGAGAAGGTGAATTGATCAAATTCTCCTACTCATGTTATTTCTACCTTTAGCAACAATTTTCCTCTGAGTGATTTTGTGATAAACCAGTAAAGAAACAGGTCACATACATATAACTTGGGAATTTTAAGGCTTACCTATCAATCATTTATAAAGTGCCTGATATACCAGATATGTGCTAAGCACTGGGTATTCAAATGCAATAAATAATACAATCCTTAAGGATATTCTTCACAACCATAGGTAGGCCTTAAGAAGGCTGAAGATGAGATAAGACACTTAAGTCTCTTGAGATTCTACCTGCTGAGCAGCGTAGGCCTGCAATCTCAGATCAGCTAGCGTGGGGAAGGGGGTGAAGATGGTACCAGCACCCATGTTAGTCCCAGGTGTCAGCACAACTGATGGGAGGGAGTGCAGGTACCAGGGGTGCACCTCTCTGTACAAAAAGGTCTCATCCCTGACATACATTAGGAATATTTCAATTTTTTAGTTCCTGGTGTTTCTAGGTGAGCAATTGACTGAATATAATTGACACCATTGGTCAGAAAACTCATCCTTCTCATCTCTCCTTAGAATAAGGAAAATTGATCAGTAACCATGAAGGACCTTAATGTGTGCCCAGCACTGGGGACAGAAATACAATAAATGTAACAATCCCTACTCATAATGAGCTTACACTATATCAGGGAAGACAAGTACATATGTAATTTTATCCAGAATAAATACAATAGTTGTGTGTGCGTATATATATATACATATACACACACACACACACATATATATAAAAGATGGGGGGGCTCAAGCAGTTGAAAGCATAAGAAAAAGCTTTTATAAGCTCCTCAGCTTGAAGGACAAAGGGCATTCTATAAGGTCAGGAGCACGTATGCATTCCAGGCATAAAGGATTACTTGTGTAAAGTCAGAGATGGCAGGTGGAGTGTCATGTGAGAGGAACAGAGAAGGCCAGTTTGGATTGCTGAGAATGAGAGGAGGGGCAATTGTCCAATGAAGCTGGCTAGGTTGTGAAAGGCTTTAAAAACTAAACAAGAGTTTATATTTTATTTTAGGGGCAATAGGGAAACATGGCAATTGCTTAAGCAAGGGAGTCACATGGTCAGAATTATATTTAAGGAAAATAACTTTAGCAGCAACCTGTAGGATGGACCAGAGTGGTGAGAGATTTGAATTATGGACAGTTAGGAGGTTGTGTTATCTGTGCTAGAGATGAGAAGGATCTAAATGAAAGTGGACACTATGTGAGAAGAGAAGGGGTCCCACTTCAGAGTGGTGGAGGAACAGCAAGAGAATGACATGCAGGGGAAGAGTCGAGGATAATGCTGAATTGGGAAAGTGGGAGCATCAAGGGGATTCCAGGCAGTTTAATTTGGGACATAAAAGCTTCATTTGGACTGAGCACTAGCACAATCTGGAAAACAAGATCCTCCCCAACAGTTTAGGGATAGAGTGTGAAATTGCATAAATAAGGGGAAACAATCCAATAAGGTGTATTTGTCTCTAACTAAACTAACGTTTGACCAAAGCCAAGGAGAAGTTTCATAAAAGGACAAAAGAGCCTTTGCTTTAAGGAGTTACAACAGCTTTCCTTTGATACATTTCCAAAAAGCTATGTCAGTTTCTTCCCAATGATAACATTACAGTTCTAGGAATTCTAGACATTTTATATATACACACACACACACAAATACAGAAAGAGTGAAAGTTCTATAGGCATGTATTTGTAATTACTGTTAACTTTTCACAAAGAGTTCTTGTTTCTCCAAACAGAGGTTCCTTGAAAGCCTACTAGTTCGTATTTATTTTCATAACCCCACAGCATAACTGAGCATAGCACGGGGTGTTCCAAACCTTAGCAGACCTTAGTAAATATCTGGATTAAGACAGGACACCAGGCCAAAAATGTTTTTATTGGGAAATCCATGTAACAAACCAAGAGGTATTTACAATGAAACCTGTAACTAAAATTCCTCTAACCCATCCCCCTCTACCCAGTGCAGAAAGCCACTTTGCCTGACTCCATTCCCTTTAGCTCAGAACCTAGAGAGGATAAACTGAACTCTTAAAGGAGCTGAATGAAATCAATTCACCCATGCCACAGTCCCATTTCCCCACTATGCATTTCACTGGGGTCAAACTCTGCCTGAGAGGGGTATCTCACTAGGGAGAGCCCAGACCCAACATGTCAAGGTGAGAGAATAAGAAAGACCCCAAGCTGTCTGCAGTCCTGCCCAATTTCAAAGACTCAAGTCAACAAAGGAAGACAAAAGGAAATCAGAAGCCAACTCTCAATCCCTGAAAAGTTAACACTGGTGTTGGTGAAGTGCTGAATGGCCCATAGTCCCTTTCACCAGCAGCCATTTCTCTTAGGCCCATTCCCCAGGGGTATTACTGCAAAGAGCCCTAGCAAAGGGCACCCAGCCCAAGTGGGAAGGGCTAGACTCAGTCCAGGCACCTATTCAGCAAGACAATAAAGCTATTTGCAAGCATCCTCCAGGGTGAGGATACCAGCTGCCTTCTGACTCTGTCCAAAGAGTCAGTCAAAGACAGAGGCAAAATTAGCCAGGGGAGGAGAGTGGGTTTCCTTTTGATTGGAAACCCATCCTCTTCCCTGCATTGACAGAAAGAAACCAATCCCCAAGCCCTTTCACTTGGAATGGGAGCAAGGGGACCTGCCCTGGGAGGCAGGAAGATGTCCCAGGCTTTTCACTTCCCATCAGAGCCAGCAGAGGGGCATCAGCTGTGGCTGGATGTAGGGGCAGGGTAAGCCAAAGACAGTCCCATGAGTCCTGCATTCTGGGGAGAAACTCTCACTTGCCCCTGTGTCCTGGGCCCTTCACACCAGCTTCTTGGCTTCAAAGAAACTCTTGAGGTGCCTCATCTGCCAGACACCAATGGCCACAAGGATGAGAGTCTGGACAATGGACCACCACAGAACTCGCTGATTAGTGCTTTCACTGGTCTGGCGAAACCTCTCTTCTCGCCACTGTGGGAAACAGAGGAGGACTTAAGCTAATAGTCATACTCATAGTATCTCATGTTTGTATCCCAGAGGACCAGGATCTGTAGAACTAATCTAGACCCCAGGGCCAATAATGAAAGAAGCCAGCCAGCCATGAAAAAGGAGCAGTCCTCCTTTCCACTGAGTACTTAGTACCTTCCACCCAGGAGCCCCATCTCGTAGACACTATCAATCCCCTCACCCTCTGGTAATTCTGCTCCTTCTGGATCTGTTCTACTTGTTCCACTAGCTGTCGAACTCGAAGCTGCAGCTCACTCAGCTTGTCTTTGGCAGCAATCTCTGCATAGTCGTTGGCATGTTCACCTACCTGAATGTCCAGGTGAACTCTCTGGGGGGGGGGGGAAACAAGTATAAAAGTCAAGGTACACAGCTCCATTCACTTAAGACAAGACGAACATCTGGTCCACAACATGCAATCTCCAACTATTCTAAAACTCTTCACTCCCCAATTACTCAGTCTTTTATGTCATATTATCTTCTAAAAACTACCTCACTCTACCCTGACTCCTTCACCCACACAGAAATCACCACATACTTATTCTAAGAGTACAGAGATTCTAGAACTACATAATGTCAGACCTGGAGGGAACCAGAGAGATCATCTAGTCCGAAGTCTTCATTTTATAAATGAGAAAAATGAGTGTCAAAAAGGGAAAATGACTGACTCATACAATGTCAGAGTTGATGGCGAACTTGCTTAAGAAATGAGCTAAATGCCTTATTTTAAAATATGGAAACCGAGGCCTGGAAAGCAATTTATCCAAGAGCAGTAAGTCAGTGATAAATCCAGGGTTAGAATTTGAGCCTCCTGACTCCCAGCCCTGTGTACTCTTACCTCGACTGCCCATATTGCATCCTGCCCTTTTTGCCAAGTTGGCTAAGGCCCTTTTCTAACACTTACCAGCATGCCTCCGGCAAAGAGGGAAAACTTGGTGGAATTGGAGTGTAGGCAGATCTGGTGCTCTCCAGGAGTGTGAGAAGTGAAAGTGAATCTGCCTTCTGAGCCATACTGCCTGGAAAGAATAACCTGGAGGGAAAAAAGGGCCTTTGTAGTAACAATGGCTGATGGAAACTTGAGTACTAATTTCATAACATGTTGTAGTGTCACCCTGTTTTTGGGAATCTTGCTAAGAGGCTGCAGCTACTCATAGTCCATTTCACAGGTGGGAAAAGGAAAATGTGGAAAAGACAGTTTGAGGTTTTAGACCTGTAGGAGGGCAAGTGAGTAGGGGAGTCTTGGGCTGTATCCAAGATGCAGATTTCCCAAAGGGTTCAAATCGTGGAATGCCTGAATTGCAGACCAAGCTGTCCACCTTTCTCATTTTACAGATGAGCAAAGTGAAGTCCAGAGCTGTGACTTTTCCAAGCTCATACATCTGAGTGATCCTGCTCTGGTGAGGGATTCAATGCAAATAGAAAGGCACGGTTCTACATGCTTAAGTGGGGTAGGGAGAGCTCCAGATGGGAGGGAGAGGGCGGTGGACAGGAGCAGCCGAGCAGGCCCCTCTAGTGCACTAGTATGCCTGGCCCATTCAGCAGGTTCCAAATGCGGATGCTGGGTGGGGCTTCCTCCCCAGCCCTTCTGCCCCGGGAGCCCGCGGGGTTCTCACCTTGTCATCCGGGTCTTTAACCTCCACGAACATGCCCAGGCCGGGGGTGGCAGGCTGGTACTCCTCCCGCTGCTTGTCATACAGCTGGGTCCGGTAGTTCCCTGCAGGGAGAGAGGGGACGAGGGACTCCGTGGGGAAAGCGGGGTCACACCTTCCCGGGCCGGTCGTCCCCCCGCTCTCGCCCACGTTTCTGCCCCTACTTTTCCTGCAGGGTCACGTGACCCCCCCCACTCCCGGGAACTCCTCTTCACCCCCACCCTAGGCACTCGTACCTATGACCATGGTCTCGTCCGGGATCTCCTCGATGAAGCACTTCTTCTCCGTCTCCCCGATGTGGAAGTACAGAGCAGAGCCACGGGCCGCCAACCCGAGCAGGAGCAGCAGCGGGAACAAGCGGGCCAGCCCGCGCCGGCTCCCGCCTCTTGCCCCCATCCAGACCCCGGCTCTGGCCCCAAGCGCGCTCCGCTCTACCGCCATCTTCCCCCACCAGCCGGCCGCTCTGCCACGTCCTGTCCTTGCGCCGCCGCGAGGCCTTGTGGGACAGCGAGTCTCGCGGCTCAGGACTACAACTCCCAAGAGGCCTGGCGCTCGGATTCTCCGGGCAGCGCCCCCTTTAGGGTTCCATTTCCGGGGCTCCTCTGGGTGTCTGGAATCCAGTCTTTGCTCTCAGAGGACAATGTTGGCCGTAGGGGCGGAAGGCTACAGGCTTCTCCCGGGACTAGGTCTGGGGGTACGGCGCGGCCCGAGGCCCTAGATTACATGTCTGGAAACTCGGATTATAGACTCAATTCTGACAGCATCCTCATTTGTAAAATGGAGATAATGATCCATAACTACTGTCTCAAGGGACCGTTTGGGAATCAGGCTTGTAAGGAACGTGAAAGCCAGAGATAGACACACACACGTAGGGTATGTCATTCCGTGCCACCCCGTATCTCCCCTCCTCAGTTTCACCATGGAGGAAAAAAAAATCTCACTGGCCTCAGCCCAGCCAGACACATCTGGACTACTGGGTTCAATTTTATAAACAAGTTTAGAGTGGTTCCAGAGAAGGATCACCAGGATGGTCAAGCGACCTGACCTCATGCCAACTGGGGATCAGATGAAAGAATTGGAAATGTTTACCAAAGAGGAGAGTGAAATTAAAGGGTTATTATAGGTTTTGAAGGATTTTATTTCACTTGGCCCCACAGGGAAATATCAGTCAGTTTTCAGGTCAATAAAAATTTTTCTGACAAACAGAAACTGTCCAAAAGTGGTTAAGTTGCTTCTAGTGATCTTCAAGCTGAGGCTGCATGCTGTAGACTACAATACAGAGGGAATTGTTGCTTTCCTATGGATTCAACAAGAATTTATTTTTGAGCTGAGACTAAGTGACCTTTGAGATTCTTCCCAACACTGAGTCTAACTCTCAGGCTTTGGATGACTCAGGGAGCGCAAAGAAATGTGGAAGTTTGACTATTGCTATGGTTGCTGGAATCACATACAAGGAAAAACACATAAGGAAGAAGACCTCAGAGACCGTGAAATCCAACGAAAGAGCAGAGGAATTCTGCAGTGTGATCCTGAAGCCAGACACAACCTCCCAACTTGCATCCTCCTCATGAATGTTAACGATCACACCATAATTTATTTTTTTCTGGACCTGATTTCATAGTGTTGGGAATTCCCAACATGGAAAATACCCAGTGGACTTTCCGTAACTTAAGTCTTGAATAACTGAACAGTGGTTGCACAGCTAAGTATCAGGGAAGACTCAACAGAGGTCATTTTGACTCAAGGACTGCCATCAACCCACTCTGCTAGACTGCCTCTAATCATGAGGATGTAATGAGTTAGCAGACATAAATATACTTTGTTAAATTACAAATGCTTCACAAATACACTAGCACTTCAGGAAATGAGTCACTTTGAAGTTTTCTGAAATGCTGAAGGCCTGCAACTTCATTCAATCATATTTGGTTGAATGCCAAAGCATCTGGCTGTCTCTAGACTAAAAGCAGCTGCTGACCTGAATTGGCAAAGGGGCTTTTTTCAGCATTAGTCTCCTATGTTAATGTAATAATAGTTTCGGACCAAACAAGTGTTTCTTCTCCATACTCTCTTCTCTTTAAACTATCAATCTCACTAAATCTTCTCCTTTCCAAGATCTTGGGGGGCTCTCTTCCTTACTGAGTAAAGACCAAACAGGCCCCACTGTGCGCTACTCTATCTTTTCAACTGGATGTCGCACTACTTCTTTTCTCTGGACTATTTTGTGCCCTCAACTCACCACAACACATTTTGTGATGTCACTGCCCTGCCTTTATTAAGTTCTTCATCCCTGAAATGTAACTCAATCTTCAATAATCCAATTTACATGCCACCTTTCCTTGTAGGAAACTTGCTCTTATCACCTATGAGGAATAACCTTCTCCTCTGTATTGTTTTAAAAGCAGTGACTGTATACCTCAGTTGTGTGTATGCATTTTCCCCATTACACAATTAACTTCAAGAGGGAAAAGCCCAACTACATTGTATCTCCCTCAGGTCCAAGGACAACGTTCTGCACACCGTTAAGCACATCAATAAGTGTTTGCTCGATAAGATGAGGAGACGGTGCCGTAACAACACCGACACGGAGGAAGAAAGGCCTTTTCAACAAGCACATGAGTTTGGTTATTCACTTTATTATGCAAAACTTCACAGTCCTTTGCTTTCCAGAGCTGCATCCTCACTCACTGCATTGTTTCATTTCCAAGGCTGCAGCCCTGACCCCATTCCCTTAGCCCGGGGCCTGGTTCAGGAGGTAGATGGAAAGGCCATCTCAGAACCAGGAATCCCTGCTGGCACATAAGACTCCTACTCTGTTACTATGCCCTACAAGCGGAGACGAGTCACCAGCATTTATGTCTCTCCTGTGAGAGCCCCTACAGCCCCAAGCCCAAGCAAAGGACAAAAGCAGGGATAAGCACTCAATAAACAGCTTGCTTTCACTGTTGCTGGGCTCAGAGCTGGCACGGGGAGGCCTTATCCATGGGCAGGAGACAGCAACTAAGGCCCAGTCACAGACCAGATAAGCCAGGCTTTTCTCCTTCCCTCTCTCTACTCCAGTCTCCAAGCCGAGCGGACCCCACGCCAGAGTCCCCAAGTTCTTGTCACTTGCCCCAAGTCGGGCTAGAAATGAAATGTATGAAAATACTTTAAAATTATTTCTTTTCAAACAGGTTAAGAAATAAGGTTGTTGGGGTTTTTTTTTTAAACAATCCCCAAGTAGAAAAGTTCACATGACGGCCTGAACCCCTGCACCAGGCTTCCCTTCTCCCTCACCCAATCATTCTTTCCCCGCACCACATCAGTAGAAACGCTTGTTCCTCTCCTGTCGCTTCTGAAACACCACAGCTCCCACCACAGCACACACGATGATCCCCAACAGCGCACAGAGCAGCAGCAGGAACACCTTCCACCCTGTCAGAGGGCCACTTCGGAAGTTCCCGGTGGGGTCATCCACGTTATCTGAGGAAGCAGAGGAGAGACTGAGAACAGGGCACTAGGAGGCCACTCCCCAGCCCCCTCCCAGATGCAGTGTATCCCGTGGAAAGTTGAGCCCACGGAGGCTGGGGCTGGGTCCTTCAGGGGGCACAAGAGTGACAGGACCTTCCACTAAAGTTCCCCTTCGGTGGCCAAGGCACAGACATGACCCTGACTTATTGAAGGCTATATATGCCAATAGAGTGCAAGCCTTGGAAGGTCCTGCCAAGTCAGAAAGGTTTCAAAGATGGGCCCGGTGATGGATGGTGCTGTCACTCAACAATGAGCCTAGATAAATGTGGAGAGCCTTCATTACCAGACAGCTGGCTACGATGGGATAAATTTTTCTGACCAAAGCAATTCGATCCATTTACTGAGGCTGAGTCGAAAGGGAGGGGGAGGGGAGAACTGGATCCTATGTCAGTGAGAGAGCACCCCCACAGATATGGTCATGGGTCATTTAAGAACTTATGACAAAATCAAAGATTTCGAGCTAGAAGGGACCTCAGAGGTTCTCTAAGCAATCTCATTTTACAGATGAGGAAACTGAGGCCCACAGAATGGTTTACCTAAGTTCACACAGGTAGTAAGTAGCAGAGATAAGATGGAACCCAGACCCTCTGACTCCAAATGTAGGGTTCTTTCTCCTACCTCATGAGCTTTCTCTCTGTCAGAATCCATGGCATCACTACCCCTGCCCCCCTCCAATTACAGCCCCCAGGCTCCCCAAAGTGGCCACACCATAGCTTCTATTGTTCTAGCCAAAGCCACAGCTTCTTAGCTAAAGGTCCCAGGAGCATGCTGGGGTCTCCCAGACTAGGCTGGAGACGCACCTTTGGGAGACTTAAGGAAGCTGACACTGGGCTCGATCTTGGTCCAGTCAATGTTATCCTCTTCTGGAGTGTGCTCCACCATCAGCTGGAATAACTTCATTGAGATGATATCATGATTATCTGTAGGACCAGGGCATACAGTGAACCAGCTGAAGCTCCCTCCTGTAGGTGTACCTACCCACCCAGCTAACAGGACCAGCAGCCTCTGGCCTATTCTCTGCCCTCAATGCACCAGAACACATTCTGTGATGTTACTGCTGAGCCTTCATTAATAGTTCCCTATCCCTGAAATGTCACCCATTCCCCCCCTTCACCTTTCGTAATTTCTACCTATCTTTGAGAACCCAATTCAAATGTCATCTGTTAAGTTCTCCTGCAGCCTAGCCCCTGAAGCCCTTCATTCTTTCTCTCAGCATAAGAATTCCAGAGTGGAACCAAATTCCTCCCCCAAGTGAATCTCATAGCTGGAAGGGATCTTAGAGGCCATCTCATACAAGCCTTACCTTCAAGCACAAATCTGGTCTACAGCATCTCTGATGACAGCATATCTAGCTTCTGCTCCAATAATTTCACTGAGAACTCACTACCTTCCTAAGAAGCTAATTTTGTGGGGGGGTTTTGACAGTTCTAACTACTATACAAAGCTGAGATCTGTCTCCCTGTTACTCTCCTCATTAGTCCTGTTTCTGCTCTCTGGGATCAAGCAGAACAAGTCTGATCTGTCCATCAGAGCCTCAGCTAACAGGAGCACAGTGGGAAGATCGCCCACCATATTTTCAACACTTGCTTTCTCTGTAATGCAGCTCTGCCACAGTACTGGCCCAAACTGAGCTTGCTTACAAATCTCCTGACCTTTCCCACACAAAGTACTAGTGAGCATGTACTTCTACAGCCCAAACTTGCTATCAAGAAAATCAACGGCAGAAGAACAGAACTGTACATTTAGCCCCATTAAATATCATCTCAGTAGATTTGGATGATCCTTCTGGGTTGTCCCAACATAGCCAAGATATGGCATCTGTAAATGCGATAAACATTCCACATGTTCCTTCACCCAAATCATTGATAAAAATGTCCAAACAGAACAGAGGGAAGGGTAGAGCCCCGTAATTGCCACTAGATGTCCTTCCAGATTGACATCAGCCCAATACTCACACTCTTTGGGTCTGG